TTTGGTTGGCTAGGCCAAAGATAGTAAAGCCTTTTACTCTTTAAAAAGAGTAGAGAGAAATAAGCATTCTTGTTTTAAAAAATATTATTTATTAACTCTTAACTTGAATGTGAATAATAACTACCCCTAAAGGTCCTATTTATAGTGTTATAGGCCCACATCCTAATAAAACTCTACTTCTAATTGCCTAATACAATTAGAATAATTAACAAGAGATTTAAATAAAATGGGTGTTCTATTCATAAATAGAACATGACTAGCTTAAAGATTTGATACAAGTAAAGGAAGAATTTTATTATATCTATAATTCCTAAATAATAATAATAATAATCTAATAATATACTCTTGTATCAGTTAGTAATGATTTTTGACAAAATCCATATAGTCAACGATTTTGTTGGTAAAGCATTCATATCCACCAGTAATGGGAAAAATCAATTGATAAATATATATGAAAATTCGTCGACTTCTTATATTATCCGTCGTTGTTTCCATTAGGAAAGTATTTTCACCTTAAATTTATTTTTAGCTATTTTGTATTTCTTGTGTTTCTTGTATTCCTTGCTCACATATGACATGAATATCTTGAAATACTAAATTGAAATGTTTTAATATGTATCAAACCTATTTAAATTTTATTATACAATGAACAAACAAACATAAATTGTATTTCAAAGTAATAAATAATGGATATAAATGTTCAAATCAATATAAAAATCCATAAATCCAACATATACAAAGACAAAAATTAATTATACCCCAAATCTCCTATCGATTATGTTTCCTTTAAATTATCAGAAAAGGGTGTGTACGGCCCTATCTATGGTTGTGCCTACGACTGAGGGTTTTACGATAAAGACTCGGGTGTAGGTGGAAACCTATGAAAGATCATCTTAAGGGTTGCTTCGATACTTGATATCCTAGCATCTGTATTTTTCATTAAGTCTTTCATTAAAGAAAGAGCTTGAGCAGAATCATTTCTTCTTTTTGATCGAAACTTCATATAATTTTGCCGTGTGGTACTCATCGTCCTCTAAGAATTGACATCTTTTGAATTAACCTAAACATGAGTCAGGATGGGTGAAAATCAAAAGATGACCAGATGCATCCACATCTCTATCATCATCATTCCATGGCACTTAGTTCATTCTTGTTGGGATTGTAGGTTCAAAATACATCAAGAAAAACAATAATATTTTCTCAATGATATATGCTTCGCAAATGGATCTTTCCACAAATGCTCGACTTTTCACCTTTTTTCTTTTGGATGGTGCAAAAACTTGGAGATTGAAATGATTGTTAACCTATGAACAAGATATTTTAACCCTAAATCAAGAATAAATTGTACAATGAAATGCCTTGCAATGCATCTCAAAAACATATATCCATCAATCATGGACCAATCTTTCAACCTGAGCTTTGTATGCCAAGTGAATTGGTAAATACTCCATTGAGTTGAAAAGGCCCAGTGGACATAAATCACGCATTCATACGAATAACACGCAGTTCGAATGCACATAAATCACGTAAGAAATGTAACATATCAACAATTGGACTCCAAATAGTGTGAGGAACCATTTCATGGTAGGCAATTGGGAGCAAACACTGTATGAAAACATGACAGTCATGACTTTCCATCCCATAAATTTTGTAGTCATGCTCATTCACACACATTGCCATGTTAAAGGTAAAACCATTTGGAAGACATAACTATTTCACCCAAGCACACACAAGTTTCTTTTGCCTCT